CTAACCTTAACCCCCATGGAGACCAGGCCTTCCCCACACCTAACCTTAACCCCCATGGGGATCCAGGCGTTCCCCCACCTAACCTTAACCCCCATGGAGATCCAGGCCGTCCCCACCCGCCTGCACATAGCCCCCCTGGAGGTCCAGGGCTTCCCCACACCTAACCTTAACCCCCATGGAGATCCAGGCCGCCCCCCCGCCTGCACATAGCCCCCCTGGAGGTCCAGGCCTTCCCCACACCTAACCTTAACCCCCATGGAGATCCAGGCCCTCCCCACACCTAACCTTAACCCCCATGGAGATCCAGGCCCTCCCCACACCTAACCTTAACCCCTACGGAGATCCAGGCCCTCCCCACACCTAACCTTAACCCCCATGGAGATCCAGGCCTTCCCCACACCTAACCTTAACCCCCATGGGGATCCAGGCGTTCCCCACACCTAACCTTAACCCCCATGGAGATCCAGGCCAGGGCTTCCCCACACCTAACCTTAACCCCCATGGAGATCCAGGCCGCCCCCCACGCCTGCACATAGCCCCCCTGGAGGTCCAGGCCTTCCCCACACCTAACCTTAACCCCCATGGAGACCCAGGCCCTCCCCACACCTAACCTTAACCCCCATGGAGATCCAGGCCCTCCCCACACCTAACCTTAACCCCTACGGAGATCCAGGCCCTCCCCACACCTAACCTTAACCCCCATGGAGATCCAGGCCTTCCCCACACCTAACCTTAACCCCCATGGGGATCCAGGCCTTCCCCACACCTAACCATAACCCCCATAGAGAACCAGGCCGCCCCCCACCCCTGCACATAGCCCCCCTGGAGGTCCAGGCCTTCCCCACACCTAACCTTAACCCCCATGGAGGTCCAGGCCTTCCCCACACCTAACCTTAACCCCCATGGAGATCCAGGCCTTCCCCACACCTAACCTTAACCCCCAAGGAGATCCAGGCCGCCCCCACGCCTGCACATAGCCCCCCTGGAGGTCCAGGCCTTCCCCACACCTAACCTTAACCCCCATGGAGACCCAGGCCCTCCCCAGACCTAACCCTAACCGGTCTGGAGGTCCTGGTAGCCCCCACACATGAACATAGCCCCCCTGGAGAACCAGGCCTTTCCCACCCCTCAGCCGCCTACAAATCAGCCTAAGTGTTTTGCCAAAAAACCTAAGTGTCTATGCTGTAGTACTGGGCTCGCTGTGGCCGAGTGGCAAAGGCGATGGAATGGGGAGTCATTGAGGTCCTCCCACGCAGGTTCGAATCCTGCCCACAGCACTTAGAATTATTTTCACATTTGCTTGGAGCACCAGGCCTGTGATGGCTCTATTTCAAGCCGTACTTCAGGGCTTTTTTCGGGGTTAAAACCTCCGAGGACCCCCCCTGGGTCTCAGGCTTTCCAGTGCTGCATTTATGTCCGGATTTCTAAGCTTTTTTCGGGGATAGAACCTCCACAGAATCCCCTCGGTTCTGGGACCCGCATGGCCCTATTTTAAGCCGGATTTAAGGGCTTTTTTCGGGGTTAAAACCTCCGAGGACCCCCCTGGGTCTCAGGCTTTCCAGTGCTGCATTTATGTCCGGATTTCTGTCCGGATTTCTAAGCTTTTTTCGGGGATAGAACCTCCACAGAATCCCCTCGGTTCTGGGACCCGCATGGCCCTATTTTAAGCCGGATTTAAGGGCTTTTTTCGGGGTTAAAACCTCCGAGGACCCCCCTGGGTCTCTGGCTTTCCAGTGCTGCATTTATGTCCGGATTTCTAAGCTTTTTTCGGGGATAGAACCTCCACAGAATCCCCCCGGTTCTGGGACCCGCATGGCCCTATTTTAAGCCGGATTTAAGGGCTTTTTTCGGGGTTAAAACCTCCAGGGACTCCCCTTGGTTCTGGGACCTGTCATTGCTCTTTTTCAAGACAAATTTCATGCGCTCTCTCCCGGGGAGAAATGCGCCCACCCTTATTCTTTGAGAATATGTGTGCACTTGTTTTCAACTCCTGGTGGGTTCCATAACCTGAGATTCCACTCACGTCATGGGGACTGGTTTTACGTGGTGGGGCCCGAACACCGGACCCCACTGGTCCAAGCTTAATAATCAATGGGTAATGCTTTTCTAACGGTCCTTATGCAGTCTCTGTAAAAATATGGAAAGGACCCCTGGAGGTTTACTTTCCTGAAAAAAGTGTGTTATGTGTCGGAACCCTGGTGGTGGGTTGCGGGATATCAAGGAGGGGCACACTGGGGCAATTTCAGTCCAGCAGGCTGGAGCCAATCATGGAGCAGCACAACAGAGGAAATCAGGTGTCAGGCTAGAAAAAGGTGCAAGTGTGTGGTTCATTAGGCTGCAAGAAATCATGGAGGAGCACACTGAAGCGCACGCTTACAAACCACTGGTAAGTGCTGACTACAAGTCATGACTTCAAATTGTTATATAGAATGATTACAAATTATTTGTTGTTTGTGCAGCTTAGTCAAGAGTCCCTAATTGATGAAGTCGACTCAGATTCTGACGATTTAACTGTCAAGAAGAAACCTGTAAAAAAGTATGGAAAAAGAAAAATCAAAAACACTTTTCTTCAAGACTCGGAAAGTGACGAACCAAAGGCAAATAAGATTGTTATCATGCAGCTGCAAAAGAAGAAAAATGGGGGGCGAGTATACAGCAAGAGACACTTCTGCCTCTACTGTTCAATGTCCTGCCACAAAATGTCCCGTCATTTGACTAGAAAACATGGAAATGAAAGTGACGTAGCCAGAGCATTGGCTCTACCTGTGAAATCTAAAGCACGTAAACTTCAGTTTGATTTGATCAGGAATAGTGGAAACCGTGAGCACAATTTTGAGGTTTTAAAGGCCGGCATTGGAACTTTAGTCCCAGCTAAACAGCCAAATTCCCCAGTTAAATCCAGTGAGTTTTTGCACTGTATAGACTGTGGGGCATTGCTTAAGCGAAAGTCGCTGTGGAGGCATGTGGCCAGGTGCCGGCTTTCACAGAAAGATGCCCAGGCTAAACCAGGTAGAAGTAGGGTCCAGTCCCTCTGCTCCCTAGCCCAGCCTGTACCGGAGGGCATCAGCAAAAAGCTGTGGTCTTTAATTTCGGCAATGCATCAGGATGAGGTCACGGGTGTTGTCAAAGCAGAAAAGGGGATTCTGAGACTCGGAGAGCACCTGTACTTAAAACACGGGCATGATAAGACAAAGCATGATTACATTAGGCAGAAAATGAGAGAAGTCGGTAGGTTAATTAACGAAGCAAAAACCGCAGGGAAACTGAAAACAATTAAGGATTTCTTTATTCCTTCCAACTTTAACCATGTGATTGATGCAGTCAGGTCTGTGGCTGGATATGATGAGGAAACAAATCAATACAAGACTCCATCCTTGGCCCTCAAACTCGGCCATAGCCTCAGAAAGCTAGCAGATATTCTTGAATGTGACTCAAAAATGGAGCATTGTGTTGATGAACTATTTATTAAAAACCTCCAACGAAGCCGGCTGCTTTTTGAGAAGAGGTGGGACGTCTGTGTTTCTTCTGCTGCCCTACAGACCCTCCGGCAAGCCAAGTGGAACACTCCGGACCTGCTCCCTCTGACTGAGGACGTTAGAGCCATGCATGCACATATTGAGGTATGTCGACCTGAATATGTGCAAACCCTAATAAGTGAGCCAACGTCTAAGCATTGGTCTAAACTGGCAGTTTTGACTCTTTGTGAGGTCATCATTTTCAATCGAAGAAGGGAAGGTGAGGTTTCAAAGATGCCACTGACAGCCTTTACCTTAAGAAGTAAGACTGGGATCCATTCTGACATTGCTCTGGGACTGTCCCAACTTGAGAAAAAGCTGTGTCAGCATTTTCAACGCATTGAAATTAAAGGGAAAAGAAGTCGGAAAGTGCCGGTTCTTTTGACTCCTGAAATGATTGCTTCGATGGAGGTGCTGGTGGAGAACAGAAGGGCCTGTTCCATCTCTGACCATAACCCATACTTCTTTTCCCGCCCGGGCGCAGACACCCACATCAGGGGATCAGACTCCCTACGCCAGGTAGCCAAAGAATGTGGTGCGGTGCATCCAGAGATGCTATCCTCAACCAAACTTAGAAAGCACATAGCTACTATGTCTACAGTTCTCAATATGAAAGAGAATGAGATGGACATACTTGCCAACTTCCTCGGCCATGACATTCGCATCCACAGGCAATATTACAGACTACCAGAGGGGACACTGGAGCTGGCCAAAATCAGCAAAGTGTTGATGGCCATGGAGCAGGGAAGAGTGACGGAATTCGAAGGAAAGAGCCTCGACCAGATACAAATTGAGCCTGAAGGTAATTCTTGATATTATTAAAATATGTATGATTTTTTTCCCCTAAAGGCCACTTGTATTTTTATTTTCTGTGCGACAGGGAGAGCAGTAGAGATCCTCTCACAAACGGACGGGCTAAAAGAAACTTCAAGCGGAGAACCTTCAACCATTCATCCAGATGCACCCCATGGTAGTGGCAGTGCCCCTTCTGGTAAGTGTACCAGGTGGGGGATTACAGCCAGGCTGCTTGGTCCTCACCCTGGGAGTGTATATTCTAATATATTTTTATTTCTCTCCCTAGAACGTGTAAGAAAGCCATGGTCTGCATCTGAGGTGAAGGCTGTGGAGAAGACCATGACACCTTTCATACACACTGGAAAGGTCCCTGGGAAGTCTCACTGCCTGGCCTGCATTAATGCCTCACCAGATGACCTTAGACATCGGACATGGAGTGGCATTAAATTCTATGTCAAAAATAGAATCACTGCAATTCGAAAACAAAATCTAAAATAAAATTCCTTTAAAATAGTTGTTTGGTTTCTATTGACTGTTTTGTATTACTTAAAGTCTTGGTAAAAAAAGATTATGTCTATGGGTCCCATTCTGAACGGCCCTGTCAAAGGGACCCACCAGGTAACAAAAACGTGTGTGTGTGTGTGTGTGTGTGTGTGTGTGTGTGTGTGTGTGTGTGTGTGTGTGTGTTACCTCATAGTAACTCTGGACAGCGTTGATAAAGGCCTCGTCAGCCACGATCTGAGTGTCTCCGCTGAGAAAGGCCTGGAATCGTTCTTTCACGGTCTGCAGCTGCTGCTTATTGATCTGTCACAGAAACACAAAGAACGTTCAAGACATTTACGCTTTTCTGAAATCTACAGGACTGAAAATGTTGGTTGGAGTTAGAGAAATCTGTGAGTGTAGAGAGGGAGAGACGAAATTATTTTTTTAAATGTTTTTTTTAGTTAAAGTAGCAATAGGCATTTACAAACCAGGATCTTACAGCCCCTTTTCCAGCCGCTAAATCTTGTTATTGTTTTCATTTCGATGTCCCGCCCTCCACCGTTTCACCAATCAGAAAGTCTGATCCGGGCGCCAGAACTCACCGCGTGGAGCTAATCTCACTGGTAAAGTACCATGTGGCGCAGAACTAAAAAAGGTCTCGTTATGATTCTCAAATCATTAACGACAAAACAAGGAATAAAACCAGGATTTCTATCTTTGTGAAAAAGGTGTTGGTTATAGATTTGTTGTTGACAAAACTCTTGTCTATTCAGCTGTTATGGTCCCAGCTGGATTCGTCTGCATATCTGGCAACCTGAGTCAGGGAGAGTGGGAGAGGCTGCAGTACCACTTTTGGCCACATGTTTACACACTGCTCCTTTAAATAAACAGCAAGAACATTCATGAACAAATACATAAAGAACCAAACCTTGTTCTTATCAACAAATAACAATGATAAAAATCTATATTTCAATAATAAATAAACTATTTTATGTATCAAAAGCCTCAACTTTTACAGCCGCACATTTGAACCCAAACCCAAAAACCTAGACACTGATCCAGTCTTGACTCAACAGACGCCTCAGTGTTCAGTGAATATTGTTCCAGAGGGAAACAGCCACGAAGCTACAAACCATGAACTGAAACAGATGTGAAATAATAGGAAGAAGAATAAAGTCCCTGATGTGGCCCCGCCTGCACTCCGGGCTTCAAACCTCTCTAAACCTGTTCCACTCAGCGGTGCATGTTAGAGGCGTCTGTCAGACTCTAAACGTCTGATGATGAGACCTCCAGAGAGAACTCCGAGTCCCAGACACACTCTCCAGTCAAAGACAACCAAAAGCAAAAGACAGATAGATGCTTTATATATTTTATATATCCCCATTAGAGAAATCCAGGTGTCCAGTAGCAGCAAAAATAAAAATGAAATTGATCATTCTGAAAAGTTAATAATAATAATAATCAGCCACAGTCCTTCAGCCACAGCAGCAGAGGTGGATCTTGGTTCAGACCATTTTCTCTGCTCTGGTCCAAAGTAAAATGATAAATGCTTCATTAGCATTTTTCATAAAGTTAGCATTCCTCCAGTGGATTTTCTCCTGATCCACTTGATTCAGACCATGAATCCTCTCTGCTCTGGTCTGGACCAGTGTAAAACCATGAATCCTCTCTGCTCTGGTCTGGACCAGTGTAAAACCATGAATCCTCTCTGCTCTGGTCTGGACCAGTGTAAAACCATGAATCCTCTCTGCTCTGGTCTGGACCAGTGTAAAACCATGAACCCTCTCTGCTCTGGTCTGGACCAGTGTAAAACCATGAATCCTCTCTGCTCTGGTCTGGACCAGTGTAAAACCATGAATCCTCTCTGCTCTGGTCTGGACCAGTGTAAAACCATGAACACTGAACGGCAGCAACATCTCAGGCAGAACAAAAGCAGAAAAATAACAATTAAAAAACACAAAACAACTGTTTCAGACACACTCAGGACTCGCTGCAGTTTCCAGTGCATTCAAAAGAAAACAAACTAGAAAAGTATTTTGGAAATTGTATAGTTTTGCTCATTGAATTATATCAAAGGTTTCAATTATTATAGAAAGATCTACAATTAAAAAGTAAATCCAAATAAACATCAGAAAGGCTCCCTTGGCTTTGATCTCGTGGTTCGTGATGATTGGGACGAGTTTAGGCTCAAATGTGATTTCTCGCAGACATGATTTTTCCAAGCATTTGGAAGTCATTAAAAAGTGATCAGTGAATCACTTGTTCTTGGAGTTCTTGTTAGTGTGAGATCCCCACAAAGCAAAGCTGTTGATGACATAATCCCAAATGGACGTGTAATCCAGATTACACACTGCAACAAAGGATTGAGAAAGTGCTTTGAGAGTTTCAATCTGGAAATCAGGCTCGAGATCCACAGATCCCAAGTCCCACACTCTGGCTTTAAACCTTCCTCGGATCTACTGTGATTTATCTTTGAACACTGACACACACATCCAACACAAACTTCATTTCCCACTCTGTGTACATTTTTCTATTGTGAGATCAATAAAGTTTATCTTCTCATTTCTTTGTGCAGCCGTGACTCCATCAGTAGTTTCTGTAATCGTGAAAAGTGGATAAGTCTTGAAAGCCCCAGTGTGAGAATGAGTGAAGTTCATATCATCATCCATCCACTTCCTCTGCTTCTTTTGTCGCTTTGGAGCCAATGACGGAGGTGATGTATGAGCCGAGCAGATACAGATGTGGATTAGAGGCTCTGCCGTGGCCGAGGCGCTCACGCTAAAGCAGCTTTAGCGAGTCTGATCTGAGCAGTAGCATGTGTCTGTGGAGAGTGAGAGGTGCCGGGCCATCTGTCACAGACACACACTACGTCTGCTGACTCACATCTGAATGGACGACATGTGCCGCTACTCATAATACCAAGCCATTTTAACTCCATTTGACTTGAGGCACCGTCACAGCAAATCCAATCAAATGCACAAATCAGCCAAAAATAATGACAGGAAAACAACTAATATCCAAAAGAGACTTGATAGAAAACATGTGAATGTGACAGAGATAGATTTAAACAGAGGATCCAGACTGCGATGACGACCGTGACCGTGACGGACTCAGGGCTCTGACCCACTCACTATGAAAGGACATGGATCACAGGTACAGATCACAGACACGGATCACAGGTACGCTGCTTAAGCATGTGGTGTGTACACGACGACCCAGTCCCAGCCACAGAGCCTCCATCGTCATTAGCGGCCCACATGCTGTCCTCATAAATGATGCACCTGTATTCATCTGGTCTTTCCAGAGACCAGAGAGAGAGACCAGAAAGAGAGCAGAGAAAGAGCAGAGAGAAGCCAGAGAGAGACCAGAGAGAGAGCAGAGAAAGAGACCAGAGAGAAGCCAGAGAGAGACCTGAGAGAGAGACCAGAGAGAAGCCAGAGAGAGACCAGAGAGAGATCAGAGAGAGACCAGAGAGAGATCAGAGAGAGACCAGAGAGAGACCTGAGAGAGACCAGAGAGAGACCAGAGAGAGACCAAAGAGAGATTAGAGAGAGACCAGAGAGAAACCAGAGAGAGACCTGAGAGAGACCTGAGAGAGAGGCCAGAGAGAGACCAGAGAGAGGCCAGAGAGAGAGACCAGAGAGAGACCAGAGAGAGACCAGAGAGAGACCAGAGAGAGACCAGAGAGAGACCGGGGAGAGACCAGAGAGAGACCAGAGAGAGAGACCAGAGAGAGACCAGAGAGAGACCAGAGAGAGGCCAGAGAGAGACCTGAGAGAGACCAGAGAGAGACCTGAGAGAGACCAGAGAGACCAGAGAGACCAGAGAGAGACCAGAGAGAGACCAGAGAGAGACCAGAGAGACCAGAGAGACCAGAGAGAGACCAGAGAGAGACCAGAGAGAGACCAGAGAGAGACCAGAGAGACCAGAGAGACCAGAGAGAGACCAGAGAGAGACCAGAGAGAGACCAGAGAGAGACCAAAGAGAGACCAGAGAGAGACCAGAGAGACCAGAGAGAGACCAGAGAGAGACCAGAGAGAGACCAGAGAGAGACCAGAGAGAGACCAGAGAGAGACCAGAGAGAGACCAGAGAGAGACCAGAGAGACCAGAGAGAGACCAGAGAGAGACCAGAGAGAGACCAGAGAGAGACCAGAGAGAGACCAGAGAGACCAGAGAGACCAGAGAGAGACCAGAGAGAGACCAGAGAGAGACCAGAGAGAGAAGATAGTTCGTTGACTCCATGGGCCTTAGTTGTTATGTAATGGCTACATTATGTTTAGTGTGTAGAAAGTTTTCTTAAAGGAGCAGTCTGTAAAAATGTGTCCAAAAGTGGTACTGCAGCCTCCCCCACTCTCCCTGACTCAGGTTGCCAGATATGCAGACGAATCCAGCTGGGACCATAACAGCTGAATAGACAGAGTTTTGTCAACAACAAATCTATAACCAACACCTTTTTCACAAAGATAGAAATCCTGGTTTTATTCCTTGTTTTGTCGTTAATGATTTGAGAATCATAACGAGACCTTTTTTAGTTCTGCGCCACATGGTACTTTACCAGTGAGATTAGCTCCACGCGACACAGGTGAGAGACACAGGTACATATAGACACAGAGAGCCACAGGTACATATAGACACAGAGAGCCACAGGTACATATAGACACAGAGAGACACAGGTACATATAGACACAGAGAGCCACAGGTACATATAGACACAGAGAGCCACAGGTACATATAGACACAGGTGAGAGCCACAGGTACATATAGGCACAGACAGACACAGGTACTGTTTAGCTCTGCATACAACTTAGGGATTTTATATTTCTATCTTTCTTTTTAATGTGTCGAGATTATTTTTGCCTTGCTTATCTTAGAGCCAGTTGGAGTTGAAACTGTCCCAGTGAGTTGCACAGACAGATGTGGAGAGTTATAATTATGCAGTATCCCAGAGCAGAAGTCTTACACAAAGGCCATTATCAGTTAGCTACATTATAAACAAAAGAAAATCAATGCTGTAAGAAATGCAAGAGAACGGCGTGGAGAAACCGATCCGTGGGCTCTTTGTGAGGCCGGACAGAGGCGACAGATGGCCTGATTATGTCCTGATTGTGTCCTGATTGTGTCCTGATTGTGTCCTTTGTGTGGCGCTTTACCTGGCCATGCTAATTCGCTCTGATCTGAACAATAAGAAACATTCAAACACAAAGTAGCTTCTCCCTCCCTGGTGACTCTGAGATAGGCTCCCACTCGGGCTGGCAGAACAAGTAGTGAGAGAAATGGGGGTGTGAGTAACATTTACCGCTGAAATAGTAGTTATAGGTGCTGTATTTGTGGCGGTTAAACAAACAATGGGGAGCGGGAACTAAATTGTGCAGAAAACAGCAGCGTGTTTACTGTGGGTGGGTCCTCCGGGGGCTCGTGTTTAATTAAGGTTATTACATGCTGTGCTGTGGACGCACGGTCAACAATGGTGGAGAAAAAAAAGGAAGTATTTTGTGTCTGATTTGTTTAAATATTGTGTTTGTTCCAATTGGTATTTCGGAGTAGAGCTGTTTGGAAATGGCTAACTCACTAATAGCATGTCTGTTTTGTCATGTACAGTGTTTTGATCACCCACAATACTTGGCAGGACTGCACCATTTTAATAACAGCACCAGATAACTGCACTTGAATAAAGAAAACTGAAAAAATGTATGTAGATTTTATTCTGCTTTAACCAAAACAATTTCCTAATTAGTGATTTCTTAGTTAGTGATTTCTTGTTACTCACATGGTAATAAAAGGATTCTGATTCTGATAAATGCAGATTGTAAAGGCCGTTTTATTTCCCGTTAAGAAAGTACTAATTCTAAGTTAAATGTTTTGTTTTGGTAGGCACCTACAGCTTTATGTGTTGAGTGTTTGGGTGGGGACAGGTAAAGTGCAGTTCCTTTTAAATGACAGTAGGGGGAACCAGTGAGTGTAATGTGGAAGCTGACCTGGGTTTAGCCCCAACAGTTTTTTGACTGAGCTATTTTGTGGAAAGCTGGATTGGATGTGGAATTGAAACTGTTTTGAGCCATGAAGCGGGCGGCACGGTGGCTGAGTGGATAGCACTGTCGCCTCTCAGCAAGAAGGTCCTGGGTTCGAATCCCGGTTGGACCAGGGCCTTTCTGAGTGGAGTTTGCATGTTCTCCCCGTGTCTGCATAGGTTTCCTCCGGGTGCTCCGGTTTCCCCTACCACTAAAAATATGTACAATAGGTCTGGCATGTGCCTCCTGTACTGGCACCCCCAATCCCAAAAAAAAAAAAACAATTGTAAACCGCTTTGAGACTCCGATGTGCAGTGAAAAGGCGGTATATAAATAAAGATTACTACTTACTTACTACTTGTGCCTCCATTAAAACCACATTTCTCCGTTATCCCTTACGTCTGGACATTCAATCTGTTTGTTTTTTCAAGAACACATGTCAAGCTAAAGCTACAGCCCTGGCTGCTTACAGAGGCAAGGCACGCTCAAAAATTGCCACAACAAGAAGCACAAAAATGAGGAAAAGAGACGTCATAAATCGTGATTCATCTGGATTCTTAATGAGAAAGTGTGTAATTCAATGGGATGTGCACAGGCCTACAGAGATACAGTCCAAACAGCCAGAGACAGATGTGAAGAGCGCGATCAAACAGGAAGTGCTGTGTGATTGTTCTGATATCCATTATGCATTAGCAGAGAGCTCTCACTCTGAAATCATGACGAATGACGAAGCCGATACAAATGCACAATACTGTCCTCACTCAAACACAAACAAACAGATCTTATGGGGGTTTTCTATGACCCATGGATGGGGCCGAGGGTAAAAGCTGGATGGACTAGTATCAGGAGGACAGTGGAAATGTACTCATTCTTTAATCAACAGAAAACTCTATGGGAGATGATCAGAGTGTGTCATCATGAGCCCCTGGAGCAGCAGAGCCTCCTGGGAGCACGGAGGCCACACAACACAAATATTATGAGCTGCAGACAAAACAAGCTCAAATGCTGAAGAATGAGTCACTTTTAATGCAAAAGAAAATGTGATAAAGTTTAAAAAGTGGCAGAAAAGTCATTGTTGTCGATAAAAACTGACACCGAGCACCTGCTGCCGTGGACCAGAGCTACGCCTTCTACAAATATGCTCCATGCTGCCAGACTATAGTTTCTGAATGGAGCTGAGTAAGTGTACGCTTTTGCCCATCCACTAACCATGAGGCTGTGAACATCTGTTACCATAGCAACACATGTGACCATCTGACCCAGGACAATAAAAAAACGCAGAATTACACTCAGCATCTGATCATTAGTTCCTTCATTATGGTAATTGTGCTCATGGTGGCTCTCTAAGATATTACTGGGATTTCACATCATTTAGAGAGAGTGACTATTAGGCCTTTTAGCTACAACCACAACCACCTTTAACCACCTGTAGTAGGCTACTTCTATTCTCAAATCACTGCTTTTTATCTTTGAGAGCAGCTTGTGAGTTCAGTGAGAGGCTGGCTCATGTAGATGTGATGAAGCAACAGTTGGATGTGAGCGGACATACCTTCTGCTGCCTCCGGGCCATGTCTGTGGGCTGTTTGGCGTTGAACGGGTACGCGATGCAGCGCATAACGAACACGTAGAGCTGAAGTCTCTTTTTCCTTTCCTCTTCTTCCCGTTGCAGCTTTTCCAGGTCCTCCTTCTCTTTGTCGCTGCCCACCGAAGGGCTGGGGCTCGAGGGCCGCCCTCCCCCGCCGCGGCCCCGGGGTTGTAGCGGTGTTCCGCTGTGTGTGTCCGCGGCTCGGCCCGGGGACAGACGCGCTCCCGCCGCGCTCTTTGGGGCCGCCGCCTCCCGGTGCTCCACCTCCTGCACTTCATCGCCTTCCTCCTCGCTGGAAGACGGATCCAACATGCTGCTGTTGGGAGACAAGCGGAGCAGGAGAGCAGCTGTCGACGCACCGTCTCCTGTTGCTTCAGGGATGGACCACCCCCGTCACGAGCTGCGCTCACGTGCACTGCGCGCACTCGTGAACATCCTCTACACACGCACAGATTCGGTCCGGTCCAGAGAGTCTGTGGTGCGAGGAGCGAGTGAAGTGCTGAAGGAGTGGTCTCTGTGACACGCAGCGGGGGGGCGGGGGTGGGGAGGGGGGAGGAGCTGTCCGTGGTTCTGAACCCACAACCTGCTGCTGAGGATGACTTCATGTGTGACTGCAACAAGTGGTTTTCATTGATTTGTTGCAGATAATGGGAAACAAAACAGTGAACTATACTATTGAAGTTGGATTAAGATTGAGATTAGGAGATACTTTATTTGTCCCACACTGGGGAAATGTCAGTGTTGCATCACACGTCATAGATACATCTGTATCACACATAATGAAGTGAGTCAATGGCTCACAATGAAACTATACTGCACATCTGTCTTTTGTTGTAACTATAAATATTCAGTCGTTGCTAGTTCACGGTAACAGTGTGACAGAAAACAAACATTTCATTTTAAGATGAATATATTATTTGTTTTTACACAGACTAGAAATAAAGTCATTACGCTCATATTAAACCATATTAATGTGAAACCAGACCATAATTTTTGTACGGTTTTTTTTCTCACGTTTAATCTTTTTTTTCATTACACATTTTTCAGGGTAATTTATATTTTTTAAGTCAGTGAGTCCTGACTCTGGGACCAGCAGGAGGCCAGTCCCTGTGCTCCTCAGAGTCCCGGTGGAGGCCAGTCCCTGTGCTCCTCAGAGTCCCAGCAGGAGGCCAGTCCCTGTGCTCCTCAGAGTCCCGGTGGAGGCCAGTCCCTGTGCTCCTCAGAGTCCCAGCAGGAGGCCAGTCCCTGTGCTCATCAGAGTCCCAGCAGGAGGCCAGTCCCTGTGCTCCTCAAAGTCCCAGCAGGAGGCCAGTCCCTCTGCTCCTCAGAGTCCCAGCAGGAGGCCAGTCCCTGTGCTCCTAAGAGTCCCAGCAGGAGGCCAGTCCCTGTGCTCATCAGAGTTGGATGGTGCAGACTTAAACTCATCCTAGATATGTGCGATTTATTGCTCTTCCTTCTGGCAATTATGTTAGACATTTGTGAAATATCCAATTTTCTCTTTTTAGCTTGTTTTGGCCCGTCCCCCGGGCTGTACCTGGCTCCGCCCCCACTACAGCCTCATGACACCAGCTCTGTCTTGCCTCCTGAGCTCAGGTCATGACTGCGGAACGAGGCTCACCCTCTCTCCTGTGGACACCGTGGACCACACCATCCTCCTACATAGACTACAATCAGTAATTGGACAGTAATTGCACTGTAAAAAATACAACTCGGAATTGTTCACCTTACTAAGATTTTTGCATTCACTGACAATAAAATTGCCAGTTGGAACTGGAATTGTCTGTTTTGAGCCACTTGAACTCACTTTCAGAAGTTTCTGATAAAAAGTTAATCTTATTTGATATATTAAGTTGATTTTACTTTGAAGTTGTAGTGAACTTCTGAAAGTGAGTTCAAGTGGCTCACAACAGACAGTTCCAGTTCCAACTGGTAATTTTATTGTCAGTGACCGCAAAAATCTGAGTAAGGTGAACAATTTTGAGTTGTTGTTTGTACAGTTCACCGAGCTAGAGTGAGGTCGACTTATCTGCGTTTGCTCATTGAAATATTTGTCATGGCAACCGGCTGCATTCAACATTTTGAAAAAACTAATTAGACCAAAAAAATCATTGTATTTATTTTTACCAACTGTTACCGCTCCAGTTCTGGGCCGTTTTTTGCAAGCACCCCCTCCCTCTCCCGGTGCGTCTCTCCTGTCTGTGTGTCTGGCTCATTCCCGCAAAACCTAGGGCCCGCCTCCCGGATGCTGCCATTCGCCCGGAGTCCTCCTGTATGGCCAATAGGAGCTCCGCCCGAACCAATCTGCGCCACCAGCTGACCTGCCCGCGGCCAATAAAACAGCGGTGCGACGTCCAGACGGGGCGGCTTGTTTCCAGTACAAGTGCGCCAGCCTTGTAGAGACGTGTGGTGGAGAGCTGACACTTTTGAGAGACTTTACGTGACCGTGTATGACCGTACGAGACCTTACGAGACATTCATAGAATTGTGATTTGTTACCTGTCGAAGGAACCCCTTTTGTTTAGTTTCTGACTCTAAGTTTTGTCCAGGACGTTACCTTTTCTGCCTAGAAATAAAAGGCCATTTACTTTCGCCAATTACATCTGGTTGTGTATGTTACATTTCCTTTCCCCTTCTCAGAGCCAAGTTTAGGGCTGTAACACCAACCGTAATCGACAGGGCCATGCCAAAGTAGCCCTATATATTCCCTGGGTCAGACTTAGAAACATTAGTTTTCCCCACTAATCAGGTTCACAGCTTTTGTAGCACGGTGGCTGAGGGCACTCCCGCTTCCTGACACGAAGGTCCTGGGTTCGAATCCCGGTCGGAAGAGTGCCTTTCTGAGTGGAATTTGCAGGTTCTCTGTGTCTAATACAGCCTATGTTGAATACTGCTGCAGGTGAACCTGTTCACAGCTGCTGCAGTCCCTCAGTCATTGACCAAACGGTGGACAACATGGAGTCTTTAAAATCTGCATTAAATGCAGCAGCTCCTTTAAAACAGAAAACTATTAGGATTAGATCATCGTCGCCCTGGTACAGTGTTCAACTCCACACTTTAAAACAGGACGTCAGAAAATTGGAGAGGCTATATCGCCGCTCCCACTCGGAGCCTGTCCACAGGGAGTGGAAAGCAGGTCTCCGAAACTACAAGAAGGCCCTTTGCAGGGCTCGAACTCAACACTATTCAACTTTAATAGAAGCCAATAAAAATAACAGTAGATTTTTGTTTAGCACCGTCGCTAAACTCACAAACTGCCATAGCGCAATCAAGCCTAAAATTCCAAGCTCACTGAGCAGTGTCGACTTTCTCCACTTCTTTAATAATAAAATTACATCCATCCGTGACAAACTGGAGGAGGTTGCTCCTGCTGTTAGTGGTGGACAGGTTGAAGCGGCATACGTGACTTCCCACTTAGACTCTTCAGTGGGCCTCGATAAATTCATGGCTGTGAGCCAAGCAGAGGTGATCTCTGTGGTCACATCCTCAAAAGCCTCAACTTGCATGTTAGACGCAGTCCCGACATGGCTCTTCAAAGACATACTTCCTTTGATAATTGAGCCTATCGTAAATATAATAAACGCATCCATACAATGTGGCTATGTCCCACAAGCTTTTAAAACCGCGGTAATCAAACCCCTTCTGAAGAAAACAAACCTGGACCCAGAAATACTTACAAACTACAGACCAATCTCAAACCTCACTTTCATATCTAAAATCCTGGAAAAACTTATAGCTGAGCAGCTTCGCTGCCACCTGCAGGAAAATAATATGTTTGAAGTCTTTCAATCTGGATTCAGAGCTCATCATAGCACTGAAACGGCACTAGTCAAAGTCACAAATGACTTACTACTAGCTGCTGATAATGGACAAGTGTCAGTGCTGGTCCTACTGGACCTTAGTAAGTGTCAGTGCTGGTCCTACTGGACCTTAGTGCTGCATTTGACACAATAGACCACAGCATTCTACTGCAGAGGCTAGAATGTGATATAGGTCTTAGAGGAACAGCCCTTGGCTGGTTTAAATCCTATTTATCAGATCGGTATCACTTTGTCAACGTAAATCAGAACTCGTTGCCTTATTCTGGAGTAGAATTCGGTGTGCCGCAGGGTTTGGTACTTGGACCGATTCTTTTCACTCTCTACATGCTGCCGTTAGGAAACATTATTAAAAAGCATGGAATTGCTGCAGATGACACACAGCTTTATCTGTCGATGAAGCCAAATCAGACCGATCAGCTAGAAAAGCTCAGTGCCTGCATAAAGGACCTTAAAATGTGGATGACTCTTAACTTCCTACTTCTCAACCCGGAGAAGACAGAAGTGATCCTACTCGGTCCGAAGCGCCTGCGTGACTCCCTCACTAACCAGATAATTACTCTGATAATGTCAGTATAATACCCAGTAACACTGTGAGGAATCTTGGAGTCATTTTTGACCAAGAGCTCTCCTTCAAGGCTTATATAAGCCAAGCAACTAAAACGGCGTACTTCCACTTACGGAACATCGCTAAAATTAGGAATTTCCTTCCTAAAAGCGACGCGGAAAAACTTATTCACGCGTTTGTCACCTCAAGGCTCGACTACTGTAACGCTTTACTGGCAGCGTGCCCTAAAGCCTCTTTGAAGAGCTTCCAGCTCGTTCAGAATACAGCAGCTAGGATCTTTTGGAGGTACCAAAAGGAGGGAGCACATAACTCCGGTGTTAAAATCACTCCACTGGCTCCCTGTGGAGTACAGAATAAAGTTTAAAATCCTTCTCTTAACATATAAAGCCATAAATGGCTTGGCTCCTTCTTATCTCCAAGACACGTTAGTGTCGTATCAACCAGGTCGAGCGTTGCGCTCACAAAACGCCAGACGTCTAGTGGTCCCTAAGGTCTCAAAAATCACTGTTGGCGGCAGAGCATTTAGCTCCAAGCTCCTTTACTGTGGAATCAGCTTCATTTATGTTAAGGAAGCAGATACTGTCTCCACATTCAAGGCCAGGCTTAAAGCACTCTACTTTAATTTAGCATATAATTAGGTAATATATAATATATGGTGTATATATTATATATACGCTGTATTATGTTATATATTATACAATATATGTATTATGTTTTGCATTGTGTTATGTTGTATAATATGTTATATATTATACAATATATGTATTATGTTTTGCATTGTGTTATGTTGTATAATATGTTATATATTATGCTATGTTGTGTATTACATATGATATATATGGTATGTATGGTATATGTGATGTATATGATATATAGTATATAATTAGGTTTGTTTGGATCGGTTTGCACGCCTGGTGTGCAATCCATGAATCTTGGTGCTGTAGCCTGGGCTAGCCTAGCCTAGCCTAGCCGTGGCTGCTGCTGTCTCGCCTCCTTTCAGATACGCTCTCTTTATTCAAGGCTAGGTTTAAAACAGTCCTCTTTAGTTTAGCATATGGCTAGGAAGGTAAGACTCAGGGAAGGCTAAACTCCTCAGACTGTCAGTCAAGCTGCATAGGGCGCCCCCTGCTGGAGAAGTATGGTAACTTGAGCACTATCCTCTCCTCCTTCCTACTTTATCTGTTTTGCATTTTTAGGATTTTGACTGTAGTTTGTTCATTGCTATTCACCCGTTGTCCCATTGTCTGTTTCATGGTACGATGACGGGATCTCTGAGCCTGGTCTCCTCCATCTACACCTGCGGACTGCCCCGCCCGACCCGCCTGGGAGCGCTTCAGTCCTGCACCGGACCTGTCCACGTTCAGCGGCCACTGGTCCACGTTCTGTAGCTAGCTTAGGTCCTGGATCATTAGCCTGTCCGTCCGGAGGAGCGGATCCCTTTCTCATATGGGTCTCCCTCCCTGTGGGTTTCCCTAGTTCTCCTCCAAGGTTTCTCACTTTTTCCCACTGGGTTTTTTAAGAGTTGTTCCTTGTCGATGGAGGAGGGTCTTGTTGGACAGTTAGTGTCCAACAGAAAGGATTGGTGATGATCAGGACACTTTAGCATTCTACAACATGTATGGACATTTTCTTCTGTGTGTGCTTTATATTCTTCATGTGTTTTAACTGTTGATTCTCTGACCTGTGTTGGTGATTTCAATGGTTTTGTTAAGTCCTCTGAGATGATACTGTTGTGACCTAGGGCTATACAAGAATAAATTGTATTGTATTGTATTGTCTGCATAGGTTTCCCCTGCCCAAGTGACCTTGGTCTGTAAAATGTGCTATATAAACAAACATCATGATGGTTTAATGTGGGGGCTAATTTAAACTTAAAATAGTGAGTTATTGTAGGGGACAGTAATCTGAACTTAAAAAAGTAAGATTTTACAGACTTGAAATTTCCAGTAACTTGAATTTAAAAACTTAGTTGGCAGAACTTGGAAAACTTAGCTGACACAACTTAATAGGTGTAGTTCTTCAAAACGTGAAAAATTAAGTTAATGCCTTCAACTCAAAAATCCTTCGCAGCTGGTTGCTTTGAAATTTTGAGTTGAACTAACTTTTTCTTTTTTACAGTGTGGAATTGTGGAGTACCGCAAGGCTCAGTCCTTGGGCCGACCCTTTTTACCATATGAATGCTCCCCCTTGGTCATATCATCAACAAATACAACATTTCTTTCCACTGCTACGCAGATGATACACAGTTATACCTGAAAATGGACTCACTCCACCCACACTTCTCCTGCCAGCACTTCAGCTTTGT